CTCCACAGGAGACAGAGCAGAGAGAGCGCGATCACAATGGCCGTAACGTGGCATATACCACCTGAGGGCTCCCTAAGCACTTGGCCAAGGCAGCTGCTCTTTCATAAAGGGAACAGAAAACTGAGCACAAAGACTACGACATAAGTGACTTGAACAATCTCCCAGGGCAAATCAGTGGCGGGGCCAGGATGAGACACCGTGAATGCCTCTTGCTGTCATTACTGAATAATGCTCCCACCTGAGCTGAAAAAGCAAATGCCCGCTTCTGTAGCAGAGGGGCCTTGTGAGCTGATCAGGCCATCAGTGAAAGGGAACGGGTGGCCTCGGTCTAATCACTGGAAGAATTATCCATTCTGCAAAAAACTTACACATTGCTTGACAGAAGGGACCCGTTTTGCTCGGGGCAAGGCGCCGTCTGGAAGCACATGGGGCGATGCACAAGACAGCAGGGAAGTTCAAGGCTAAACCAGCATATGCAGCTGATCAGGACACAGGTCAATTATAAGGGAGGGAGGGAAGTCTGAGCAGCTTCTGCCTCAAACCGTTTCAGATGCCCGAGTCCCAGTTCAAAAGCATTTCAGCACTCAACCAGACTGCAACATCAACGTCGAGTTAAGCATGCGGGATGTGGAGCACGCAATGCAGATAAGGTGCTTGGCTTTACAGACCTCTGCCTCCAGCCTTCTCAACAACGCCGTCAAAATTAAACTGGAATGGGGCTTGCAAAAGATGCCTGTTCAACACACAGGTAGCATGTAAATGCATGCAATCCACTCTCACTGGCATTACATGACTTGTAAATGAGCATTTTAGAGCCCAGCCTCCAGAGACAGGGCAGGGAAGCTTGGGCCGGCTGGTATTAATTAGTCATGCTGCTCCCCACGCACAATTTCGGGATGTTGCATCTTCTCCAAACAAGCCAGTTAAGACCCCTCCTTTCTCCTGCAGCTCAGCACGCCTGAGAGCAGCTCTGGAATCCCAGCTATGCAGTCACGCTGGGACAAGAGCCAAGAATGCAGGATACTTTTAAAGGGGAAAAACACCCTGTGTTTGAGACTGTGTCCATATGGCACCCATTCCTGCAGAGCCCCAGCCCCAGCAGGCAGCTGCAGCCCAGGTTGTGAGAATGACTTCCACAGGGCTGGGGCACAGTTCTCCTGAAACAAAACCTTCTGAAAACCCAAATATACCCCTTGGGGGCTCAGGGGGGATGGAGATGGTTCCTTCAGCAGAATGGCCCCAAAATGTAAAATCTCAGCTGAGAGTTGATCTTGAACAACAGCTGGTGCTTGGTTTTACTCACTTCTGTAAGGCTTCCGAGGGTCAGCAAGGCTTTGGCTACAGCTGTATTAAGATGGCTTCTAACTCTGCAGCTTTGCATGTTTGTATGAGGAGCACTTCTAAGTAACCTCCAAGGAAGGAAAAAAGCAGGCAGCATGCACCCAGACCCTCTGGGAAGGGATGCTTTCTTCTCCCCGACCCTCATGTGATACTAAGTGCTAAACTTTTCATGTTATAACACGGCTCCTCTAAAGAGCTCTGCTTAACCACTAGCACTAGAAAAGAAAGCACCAAGGTGCTATTCTGCTGCTATTCCCTGCAATGAAGTCCCAGCAGCCAGTTCATTTCCTTGCTTGGCCTCACTAGGGAAAAGCAGCCAACTGAAAAGCCAGGACTACCAAATGAATCAGAACTCGTGGTAGAGGTAATATCTTTTATTAGACCAACTGGATGTTTGCAAAAAAAAAAAAAGGTTTTATTTGCAAACATCTATTTGGGTCTAATAAAAGATAGCACCTCTACCACGAGTTCTGATTCCTTTTGCCTCCAGACCAATACACATACAACCTGGATACCCGAGCGCTACCAAAGTACTTGCAACTGCATTAAGCCAGCAGCAGACTACCGAGTGAAAAGGAGTCCTTCCTTGCACACCAGTTGTGGCACTCTTCTTCCAGTGACAGCGTCGCCGAATGCTTCCAACTCCGCCTCCCTCCATCCCTGCCCTGGCTGCAAAGAGAAGCAAACAACAGCCGTGTGCCGCTCATCTCAGGATGTACCAACTGCTGCTGCCACTGAAAACATTCCCAGCAATTAGCTGGCTGCCCACAAGCCCCCTCGTTGGCACTTATTTTGGGAGTGTTGCTGTTCTGCTGACAGTGGGGACGAGCGACTGCAAGGGGCAGTCGGGGCAGCTTGCTTTTAGGTGGATGTTAATTGAGAGCAGTCGTCTGCACTTGCAGTTCAGAGCTGGACTCCATTAAATGGCTGACAGGGCACTTAAAAGCACCAGCCGGCAGGCACTGTTCACCCTTCCAGGACCTCTCATTAGGAAGCCAGCTGAGCTTTTCTGGCAAGTTTATCTGCGATTCTGCTCAGCATTACCAGATCAGCTACAGCGTCCAGCTTCTGATACGTGAAGCAGTCCAGGGAAAGAATCAGACCTTCCCGTCCTTCCTGCTATTACTAACTCCAGGGAGGCAAAGGCAACAGGCCTGATCTATCTGCCCAGTGGGCAAATACCATGTTTACAGAGACTGGGCGTTGGACAGGGCTGTGACACCCTTGGCTTGCAATGACAGAGGGAACTATTAGAAATCACTTCCTATCATAGGACACAATGCTGGCCCTCCAGGTCCCTTACTAATGAGGAAGGAAATGCTTCGACAATGAATGGCTGGAAGTGTATACTGCCAACAATATGGCTTCGAGC